TGAAACACCGCTTGAAGAAGAGGAGGAGGAGGACGCACACATGAAAGACTCTCAGAGAGCTACATTATCAGGTCTCCGACACAGGCTATCATCACTGAGACAAGGGTTTGTAGAAAAGTAAGTTTTTTAAAGGAACTCATAGATAGTTTAGGTACTGTATTTGGTATTTATTACAATATTATTTTTTTCATCAAGTCTTGAAGATTAGTTCTATAAAATATAAAGGAAGTTATTATCTGGAAGTTTCACAGGCCCTTACATGTTAGGATTAGTTGTTGCTTTGTGCTTATACTTGTATTGACTCCAGTCTGGCAAAGAGCAACTGTGAACATATGGCCTATACCAGATTTATTTTGCTTGTGGAGTGGAAAAATGTTGATATTATATCAGTCTTTTTTTTTTCAACTGAATTATTTATACTTCAGATACATAAATTGTGATATGGAAGTGGTACATATAAAGATATACCCATTTCCTATCTTTTTTATCTGTCTGTCTTTCGATCTCTGTGTATCGATCTTTTCATCTGTCTCTCTGTAGACATGTCTGGTAAGTATAACCATCATTTTCAAATCTTAAACTGATGCAAAAGAGACTACCTAAAGTTGAACTAGAGTAAATATTATTATATTACCTATTTGTCAACATATTGAACTACATGGAACAATTTGCAGTCCCTTGTTTGTTATAAGAACAATTGTGTTTAGTTTTGATGAAAAATGCACTTTCCTTTTTTCCATTTATGACACCATTAGTGACAAAGATGAGCCAGTTGATAGATGGAAAATGCTCCTTTTCTGTCTGAGAGTTCTGGGATATAGGTTATGGTGGTTTGGTGTGAAGGTCTGATAGCGTATTCAGAAATATTAACTTATGGTTGCACAGTACATGCAAAAACATGGAGAGCTAAGTAAGAGAAAAATCCAATCAAACATCCCTTCACTTTCTTATGGGCACATGTATGGGCATACCACAACCTAGCTGGCTCAGAGATGATGGCAGGTATATAGAGTAAGGACTTGCTGCACCTAGCTGACTAGTAGAGGGCTGCATTGCCAGCAGGTAGTCATGATGCAGCTTGAAGAACTTGGCCAGGAGTTAGAAGCCTGTAAATGCAAGTGCTATGTTTCACCGCCTTCAAAATGTGGTTAATGAAGGGGTGTGAGCTCAACAGACAACTACTACTACTGTCACTTGGATGGTGTAGGGAAATCCATAGGTCTCCTTTTTTACTACAGAACAAAAGATATTCTCTTAAGAGGAAGCAGAAAGCACCAGGGGGCAAAACAAAGAAGATGTGTACAAAAGTGCATTGATGGACCAAAGGAGGAGAAAAAAAGACATTTGGAGAGAGGGCAAAGGAAAGAGAGCAAACCAGTGCCTCAATCCTCATTTTTGTTTCCTTCCCAAGGAAACATACATCCACAAAATCCAATGATTGCTTCCATATCCTTCCCTGGTTAAGAGGGCTCATTCAGTTGTCCTGCAAAGGTGATAGAGAGAACACAAGGGAGAGCTACACACTTTCCCTTCACTCTCTGCCTCTCAAAGCAAAGAGTGAAAGAAGAAGGAAGGGTGTCAGACACAGAGCAAAGTGAGAATGAAGCAGGTGGAACACTCAAAAAAGGGACTTAAAAAAAAAAAGCAAAGAAGGAACAAAGATCACCACATCTCTTAAAAGATAGGGCACAAGAAACGTCATCAACCCATTCATGATAGGAGCTCCCAGTGCCATACTAAACAATGCATCAGGGTGCATGTGGAGTCAGTTGCTCAAGGGATATATCAGAAGCAATGGAAACATAAATGCAGTTTTGGACTTGTTGTGGAGGAAGGGTGATTGGGACTTGAGGGATTTTCAGGGTAGATTTTCATTTATTTTTTGTCTTTCTTGCTTTTTTGGGTTGCACTGTGCAACCAGTATAATTACATGGAGCCAAATCAGTTGATCATTTTAGGTGAAGCTATCATACCTGATTGCTAAACCTTTTTTCATCAGAGGAACTAGGAAATAAAAAAAATTCACCATGAACCTATTTCATGATAACTATATTTGTTCTTTGCATAATGAAGAAGGTATATAGGATACTTTAACATCTTGTATAGATTTTTGCATGGTATACTTACATTAAAAAGTATAATGTTTTTGCAGTTATAACATTAACTTTTGGAAAGGAAAAACTTTCTAGAGTGCATTAGGCACAGAAATTAATTGGGTATTTGAAAATGCAAGTATTCCTTTAGTATTCAGTTACCAAGTGTAGGTATATGTATATATTTATGTGTGTATGTATTTGTATGTGTACTTGTGCAAATACTCACACTTAGATTACATGCTGGAGGTGTTATTTTGGTAAAAATTTGGAGGATTTCACCATATAAAGAACAACTGTATTTCAACTTAATATTTAGAAAATGCACCAATTTTTAATGGAAGAACTAGTGTCATGAAAATTATTTTGACAAAGGGTATTAAAACATATGTAAAATAATCATTAATGAAAAAGGTCAACTTATACAAACTCGTTCCTAGAAGCAGCTGATGGAGCTCTCTCACCTTCAGTGCATACCAATGACAGTCAGCAGTGGTGCAAAGCAAATCACTCATCATAACAATTCGTACCATAATCACACACATCTTGTGTTTTCTTGTTTTTCCTTTCATTGTTTTATTTGCATTTTTGTTCAGCATGATTCCTACATATAGACACACCCACCATAATCATATCATTAGCATGATTTTGTGTGTGTATGTGTGTGTGTGTGACTAATTTTGAACTCTAAAACATCCAAGGAATTTCCCATGTGAATATGAAGCCTAATAGTTTTTTCACTACCATGATTAATACATATAAACACACAAACATATAGTTTGAAATAAGCAATTATCAATATACTTATATTTTTTCTTTCTTTCTATCTTTCTTTCTTCCTCTCTTTCTTTCTTTCTTTTTTCTTTCTTTCTTTTTTCTTTCTTTCTTTCTTTCTTTCTTTCTTTCTTTCTTTCTTTCTTTTTCTTTTTTTTTCATGAGCCAGATGGGATTGTTATTTACTTAAACTAAAAAAAAAAAGAGAGAGGAATGAGACTACCTCTAAAGAACAACAAAATACATGCAGATGTCCCATTAACTTTTGTGATTTGATACACAAAAAAGTATATATGGAGGATGAAGAGTGGCATCATTTTTTAGTTTTTTTATTATATTTATTTATTTATTCATTATTATTATTATTTCTTTTATTGGGGGGAGGGTTGTTTCACTATGTTAGAGTACTTAACAAGAATATTTAATTGTTTTCTAAAAGAGAAACAAGAGCTTTTAGATTTGGTTTGTTACGGAATTCTCTGGAATTTACACATAAAGGGACATTGCCTTGCACTTACGAAAGAATTAAGCTATGAGCAAGATAACCTTAGATACTACTTTTATATAGTCTGCTTACATCTATGCAAAATGTGATCCTTGAATTAAGCTTATTTCACATTTCTGTCTTTTTTTTACTAATATCCTTAGATTTCTGTGAATGTCACATTAAGGATAGTAGAATTTCCTTTCCATCCATTGATATCTTCATACAGGGAAACAGATTGGGAAAATTAGAATTTCATTTTTGAAAACCTCCCCTTTTTTTTGTTTGTTTGTTTGTTTGTTTGTTTTTTTCTTTTTTGGATCATAGATTATAGTCTTGAAATGGTTAGGTGAAGCTTTTATGTGATATCTGCAAGATAAGCTTGATTATTTGTTTGTTGATTTGTTTATTGATAGATCCATTTGATCCCTCTTATTTTTTAAACCCTTGCTAATTTACAAGTCTGATTGACATTGTTACATACAAAACTTCATTAAAATCTAAACTGGAAACCAGCTGCCGTATGACTACTTTAAATACTAAAATGCTGTTAAATACTAATAAACAGTGAAGTGGTCAAAGTTATTAATTAATTTTGATCAGTTAGACCGATCTTCAGCTTTCTAAATGTGATTATAAAGTTTACTTTATGGTCTCCAGGCATTTCAATTCCCAGATCACCGTCTGCTCAGTGGACAGCTAGTGGAACTTGTTAAGATATGGAGGTGTAGAAATCGTTAAAAAGATAGGTGCTTTTATTCATTGGCCATCCAGGGCTGTGTCCTTTAAAAGTTGATTTTTAAAATTCTTTCTAAGAGGAATTTTATCCTCTTGGGGTCTAGATCATTTAAGGTTATTAGCGCTAACGCTATTTTGGGGAATACTTTTTATAATAAACAGTATTATCATCATGTGGCAGGTAACGGCTCATGTAAATATTTTTTCTTCTTCAACAGACATCAGGTAGAACCATCAATCAGCCTCTCATATTCTGGCCAAGGAGTTAGCAGCGGCATGATTAGCTTTGGTGTTGGGGATGAAGTCACTCGTAGCAGCACACCCAATCAGTCAGAACAGGACATCGGTCCAAGTTTGACAGTGCCAAGTACAAGTGGAACCACTTGCTCAGAGGCTCCAAACTCTGAAGAAACCTCTCAGTCCCAGGAAGCACCAAAACACAAACCTGAAAGAGGTGAACAGCCCTGCTGCTCATCCACTTCATCCTCCTTAGCATCATCGTCGTCTTCATTGCATCAGCCCCAACCAGTTAGAGCTCATACGTTAACAACTTCGAGTTCTAGTCCTGCCATCTGTGATATGGAAGTAGGAGCATCATCTAGTCAAGAAGGGAGAGATAGTTTGGGTCCTGAGGCTGTGACGGCAGGATCATCAAACCGTGGGGCAGTTGCCAGTGAGATAAACCTGGGACACACTGTAGGTATGTAACTGATAGAAAGTTATTTAACTTTTTTTTTCTTGCTTAAATAATCAGCTTACTACACAAACTAATGTTGTTGTTGCAGTTATACTTATTATGTAGTTGTGGTAGAAGCTGCAGATGTTTATGTGGATATAGGACACACAGACCTTAAAAAAAAAAAAAAAAAAAAAATTCTGGGGCTGTGAAAATGCCTATCATAAAATTGTAA